GCAGCAGCAGCAGCAGCAGCAGCAAGAAGCGCAAGCGTAAGGCGGCCAGCAGCAGCAGCAGCAGCAGCAGCGTCGCCCCCGCAGCAGCAGCAGCAGCAGCAGAAGAGGGCGCCGTGTGGGTGGACCCGGCGGACGCGCAGCTGGTGGTGGACATAGCAGCAAACCCGAAGCTGCGGAAGCTGCAGCAGCAGCAGCAGGAGAAGCAAATAAGCGGCGAAGAGTTTCACCGGCGGCTGCAGGCCCTTCACAGGACCCTGAGCAGCAGCAGCAGCAGCAGCAGCAAACAAAGTCTGCTGTGGATTCAAGAGGCCAGGGAGAGGAAGCGAAGGGCCCTTGAAGAGAGCGAGCTGTGCGTCTAGGGTTTAGGGTTTAGGGTTTAGGGTTTGTGGTTTGTGGTTTGGGGTTTGGGCTGGGCGGGTGGCAGGAACTGCGGCGGGGCGCAAGGGGCGCCGCTCGACAGCTGAGCCCTCAGCGGGAACGCGCTAGGGTTTAGGGTTTAGGGTTTAGGGTTTAGGGCTTAGGGTTTGGGGTGTGGTTTGGGGGTGCAGGCTGGGGGAGCTGCCCAGCGGGCTGGAAAGCACAGGCCAAGAGGGGCCCCTCAGCAAAGGAGAGGGTTTAGTTGCTGCTGCTGCTGCTGCTGCTCGGAAGCAAAGGGGGGGCCCCCTGGGGGCCCCCCTTGCTGCGGGCAAGATAAATGTGCGCAGGCTCGAAGACGCAAACAAACAAGGCCCCAGCCTGTGCGCCAAACCCTAAACCCTAAACCCTAAACCCTAAGCTGTGGCTCGGCAAGCCCGGGCTGCGGCGCGGAAGCCGCAGGCGCACTTAGCTCTGGGGTCTAGGGCTCAGGATGCAGCGATTAGGGTTTAGGGTCTAGGGTTTAGGGTTTAGGGTTTAGGGTTTAGGGTTTAGGGTTTGGGGTGTGTGGCTGTGCAGGTGCGCGGTGTCTTGCCTGGACTTCCACCCGAAGTCGAACATTTTGCTGACAGCGGGTCGGGACAAAACCCTGCGGCTGTTTCTGGTGAGCCTAGGGTTTAGGGTTTAGGGTTTGGGTGGGGGCTAGGGTTTAGGGTTTAGGCTTTAGGGTTTGCTGCGCAGGTCGACGGCGCGAAGAACCCCCGCCTGGAGTCTGTACACCTCAAGGACTTTCCAGTTTCAAAAGCTTTTTTTTCTCTTTTCAATTTCGGAGAAACTCTTTTGATGACTTCCAGCGCCTCCAGGGCTCTCGCGGAATACGACCTGCACCGCGGGTCTGCTGCTGCTGCTGCTGCTGCTGCTGCTGCTGCTG